CCGCCCCCCCCCCTTGCCCTGCTCTGAGGCTGTGGGTCCTGGGCAGAGCCTCCATGACTCTCCTTCACCTGCTTCTGAACTCAAAACGCATCTTCATCCCACAAACAGCGGAGCTCACTGAGTTAAGCCTGTGTCCCACTCCCAGGATGAGAAGACCCTGCGTGCCAGGAGCCTGTGGGGTCAGCGTGAGGGAGGGCCATCACAGAGGAGGTTCGCGCGGTGAGGGCAGGTGCTGGCCTTCCTTGGGGACTAGAAGGAGAGGGAGGGCTGGACACTTGCTCTTAGCTGGTGCCTGCATGCACAGGAGTGTGCATGGGGCCTGGCATGGTCTGGGGAAGAGAATGAGAGGCTGGGAGAGGAGGGAGCACATCCCAGGCCTCTGCACTGGCCCGGAGGTGGGAGAAGGCTGGACTCAGCCTCACATTGCACCGCTCAGCCAGCTGGAGTGACATCCGCTCCGGGGCATGGCCTCTGTGCTGGGAAGCCTGCAGTCCAGCAGGGACTGCTGAGGGACCAGGCAGCAGGAAGAGGGGCCTTGTAGGGAAAGGGGCAGGCTGTCCATGCAGGTGAAGTAACTCTGAGAAATAGGGTGTGGGATTGGCTTGGAGGGTAGGAGGGTAAGGATGGAGACAGAAGATGGTCTCCAGGGCCCTGGCTATGCTACTGGGGGGTGGGAAGTGGAAGGAAGGTACCCAAAGCACAACAGGGAACACCATGCCCACTGGGGGCCACTCTCTAAGGGTTCTGTGTCCCCTTGACTCTGATGCCTGTCCTGTGTTCCCAAGGGTCCTCTGCTTAACTCTGATCCCATAGGAATGCAGCCTGGTGAAGGGAGCACTGGCCATGGGGGTCAGGTGCCCAGGCTCCATCCCTTCTCTGGGTTCCCACCTTCATCTGTCACATAGGAACACGTACTCCTGGAGGGCTCCACAGCTCTCAACATTCTGGTCTCAGGACCATTTCACCTTTGGACCTCGAGCCTCAGGCTTTGAACAACACTCTGAGATGGTCCCCGAGGAGCCTGTGGCCCTTCAAATTCCCACAGGGTGCTGCTGCTGCTGGCAGCCAACTCCTCCTCTCCCTCCACCCTCCCACCAAGAGCCACACCAACTTCAAAAGCCTAATTACTCCTGATTTGGGCTGTTTCCTGGCTGTTTCTCAGGTGAGGAAGTCCCCATCACTTTCACTTTTATATGTGAGCTGCTGGGGTGGGGAGAGAAGAAATGGGACAGTAGCTTCCTTTTAGGGAGGAGTGGTGAAACAGAACAGCCAATTAGGGAGGCTGAGCGTGAAGGTGAGAAGTTATAAAGGGAGGGTCCCTCAGGCCCCCTGGAGAGGGCAGAAGGGCGGAGCCACCTGTGGGAGCTTGGTCAGGTGGGGCATGAAGACTGAGCTCTTCCCGCTGTAAACCCCCATCCTTCCCTGAGCCCCACTCGGTTCTGCCTGTGTGCCCTGTGAGGAGACAGCATCCCTCCTGTATCCAGCTGGCCTGAGAACAGAGAGGAGGGGGGATTGGTGGTCCCCAGGAGCCCTGAGGTTGTGTCCACCACATACACTTCTCAGGAAATGGAGAATCACTGAGTGTGCAAACAAAGTGAGGTTCCATGACACCCCTGCCCTCTGGGGCCACGGGCTGCCCTAGACTCTTGTTTGGGTGGGTGCCTAGTGGTAGCTCCTGGGGAGAGGACCCCCTGTGTTCATCTGGAGAAGGCCGGGTCAGGGTCCATTCAGTCAAAACACATGGTCCAGGTGAAAAGGGTGACACAGGTGTGTTGTGGGGCACAAGACCACGGTCCCGAGAGGCCAGCAGGACAAAGCTCTCACTGCTTGGGGGAGGCAGGAGGCTGGTGACCGGGGCCCTTCTTTATGAGACGAGCAGGAACGAGAGGGCGAAGGCGCTTCCTCCCGCGCCCAGGAATGCGGCGGCGGTTCTAATTAGAAGCCAGCGCGGAGCTGGCGGCCGCGGGGGCCCTCCGGACACGCTCCCTGGCTCCCCCCACGGCTGGCGGGGCAAGCGTCAGTGTCCCCGCGCCAGA